AAAATTGGTTTTATCAAGATTAAAAATATGAATTTCAAGAGCTTAAAACCAATGTGAATTTCTGCAAATAAATTTTAAAGTGATAGCACACGCAGAATTCAAGACAGAGAGATTAAGAAAAGCTTCAGGAACAAAATGAACTTTTTCGCAGAATATTCAAAGTGTAGAGTAGTATTTCGTCAAGAATTCTTCGTGTGGAATTTTTCGTGTGTAATTCGTTGTTTTGATCAGTGTAGAAGACGAAGTATATATAGGAAAAGATTTGGCCGTTGAAGATTTGAAATCAAAGATTTGGAAGGAAAGAATCGCGGAATTATTGGCTTTAACGGCTATAATATCAATTATTGATATTTGATTGATTTCCATATTTGGAAGATAGTGCCAACGGATAGAATGATTAATAAAGAAGATCCAACGTTCAGAAAAGGATCTGGGTCCCCAAATAAATTAATTGTCTTTACCAGACGACAAAATAAAATATTTGTCTTCACTGGAAAAGTCAACGAAAGAGTAGCGCTGAACTTAGGAATTAATTTGAATTGAAGTCTGGATTGATTTCTAAGGAAAAAAATACTTAGAATAAAGATTAGTGTAGCAGACTTCTAGGAGAACAACCTCTCAGAAGGAGCGGGCTGCTAAGGGCAGAGGGCTAGGAGCAGTAGCCTCATCAGTTGGCTCGAAGAAATTTGACTTGAGCAGTTGGCTGAAAAAAAAATTGGCTTGAGCAGTTGGCTCGGCAGGTGGCTCGGCAGGTGGCTCGGAAGGGGGCTTGGCAGTTGGCTCAGCAGAGGGCTCGGCAGTTGGCTCAACAGCAGTGGCCTCAGCAGTTGCCTCGAGCAGTTGGCTCAACAGCAGCGGCCTCAGCAGTTACCTCGAGCAGTTGGCTGCCGAAAAGGTCAACTTAAAAACCAAACTCTAGAGAACTTTAACCACAATTGAAACACATAATAAAGAGGGATATAGAGCTCTTAAAATTGAGGTTAAGCTGCAGCAAAAGGATGGAGAAAAAGCTTGAAGACAGCTCACTCAAAACAAGAGAAACTCAAAGAAGGAAAACTAGTTAACTATTTTGAAAAAGCACTCAACTGCTGGGGAAAACTTAGGAATTTGATTCTGCTGTGCAAAAGTAAAATGTTTGATTAGTTATAAAGAATATATTTGAAGTGATAAAAATGAATTTGAGAGCTTTTAATATGCAATCCACATATTCTTGATAAAACGGCTTTTCTAGCTATCAAGAAAGACTATTTTTAGTGGATTGACTTGAATGAGTAAACCTGCAGCATCTCAACACACATATTAGCTTCATTATTTGTAAACATAAAAAACTAAAGGTAGCACAAGTCGGCTAACACGAGCTACAAAGCTAGTCATGACCGTAATTATTAGTATATGCCTAGAAAATGGGGAGAGGAGCTAAAAGTTAGAAATGATCTTCAAATAATCCAGCTTTATAATTTGATACTAGTTTTTTTTATCAAATAACCTCTTCAAATAATTTCAACATCTCAACCATGATCTCAAAAAATATCATCCACATCATCAAAATAATCTCTAAATAATCCTATGGATGGGGATGCTCTAAGGAAGAAAAAAGGTTGGAAGAAGATGATGGGTCACGTAGAGAGAGGAAATTAGGCACAGAGAGGAGAGCAAATGGATGAGAAGACAGTGAGGAGGAGAAAGGGTAAAAACATGAGAAAGAGAAATGGATAAAAAAGTAGTATTTATATGGTGTATGAAGGGTGTACACTATTTGTGTACACCAAGCATTATTGTTTTTTTACAAGAACGGAACAACATAGGGGCCTCAGGACCTATAATCAAGAAAGCTGGCTGGCAATTTAATTGAGAACAATTCTGTTCTATTCGAATCAATTTTGCTCGACGTGATTTAAATTCAGGTTCAGTTCAAATCAAATCAAATCAAACTAAAAAAGCTTTAAAAATCTGGTTGTTCATGCTTCAATAGACTTCATAAATACTAACACTGACCATTGACCATGTCTCAATTCTCAACCCCATTGCTTGGTACAAATATAAGTGTCTTAAAAATGCACAAATAAAAAGTTAATCCATGGCAATTGTAGTAATTATACCGGCAAAAGATCCGGAGTAAAAAGTTAGTACATGCGCTCCTTTTTACTGCTTTAGACGTATCCATCAAAAGTAACACTGATTGATCAAATGTAATTGTTTATTGAATGGGTTATAATAGCACTAGAGTAAATGCAACACTTTTGACATAGATGTAACAACATGTTGGAAAACTATTACATTAGATACGTTTTATGTAACACTTTAGACAAATGTTTCAATTTTTTTGTTACATTAGACCTTAAAATGTAGTAGTGAGATTTAACAACAACAACAACAATAATAATAGGTGTTTTAGCATTAACAATAATATTCTTTTGTTGGTACATTAGCAATAATAATAGGAATAAACATACTAACAATAGTAATATTGATAATACAATCAATGGCATTTAGTTAATAAGCAATTTAAATTTAATTTACGAAAACACGAAAGTCATATATTATAGAGTATTGTGCATGAGGTTGGATACACTTTTGAAAGAAGATAACTTCATAATTATTGATAAGTTTAACAAATTTTATACAACGGCTGAACAATCATTTAGACCGATTCCAAGTCATCAAGTGTAAATGAAATTTGAAAGTTACTCCAAATGTAAATGAAAGTTGAAATACAATTTTATTCAACTAAAATCAACGTGCGAAGCACATTGGATGTATCTATAGATGAAATTATGATAGTTGAAGTTGTTGATTCGTCGGGTTCATGAAGTATTTTCCGTTACATTGTAAATGGAGTTTGTTACACGTAAGTCAATAAAATGTGTATGGATAAAATGTTTCACTTCTAGAGTATGTTATTGACATGTGATGTAAATTGTTTGATTTATGCAAATGAGGTAAAAAGAAAAATACCAGTTGAACTATGCTCACCTACATAAAATGTCTGTGTGAATGAGGTAAAAAGAAAAAGGGAAAAATAATTAAAATACCCCAAACTATGAAGGGATGTGAGATAAGCACCCCAAACCTGCATATGTAATTTAAATATCCTAAACTTTTTATAAAATGTTATTTTAACACCATGATCATGTATCATTTCTTTTAAAAATGTATATTTATGATTTTAATTACATAATTTAAAATATCAAATTGAAAACTATGCAATTATAGAGAGAGAGAGTGTGTGTGTGTGTGTGTGTGGGGGGGGGGGGGGTAATACTATTTATTTTACAATGAAAGTTTAGAATGTTAATTGTATCTTCATGAATGCTAAAATATTTTAAATTTTAAAATTTACACAAATAATTGACATTTTTGAAAAAATAATACATGACTAGGGTGCTAAAATAAGTATTTATATAAAATTTGAGGTGTTTAAATTACATATGCAAGTTTAGGATGCTTACCTCACGTCTCTTCAAAGTTTGGGGTATTTTAATTATTTTTCCCAAAGAAAAATACTAGTTGTACACATCTCACCTTTACCTAGCAAATACTACATACATTTAATTTGGGAAATTATTTTAAACAAGAGTCCGTATAAGTTATAGAATTCTAAAATATACGTATTAACTATTATTATGTTTTCTTCCGAAATAGAAATTGAAAGACATTACCTTGTTAATTCATAGTATCACAACTATTTTAATCTTTTTTTCTGTACATACATTTAATTTTTTTTGACGGGAAACATTTGCCGGATTTTATTGATCAATAAAAAATGAAGTACAAAGGAGGGGGACTATACCAAAACCTCCCAAACAGAATTTGAAGGGAAAAAATTACATATAACGAAAAGAAGGGAGTCCAAAGAGGTTCGACAACTTCAATAGTTATGAAACTGATATAACTTTCTACTTCTTCCTTCAAAAAAGGCAAAGAATAATCCCCATTTTTATGGATTCTAGAATAATGATATCTATTTAAAGTGTTCGTAAAAATAATCTGTACTAACAATAGTGTCCACAACATTAAGTAGTCTCAATCCTACCTTCACTTTCCATTCACCACTCTTTTTCTTGGTTCACACTTTTATGTTACAACCTAGAGAAAACCACAAATGACGGAAATGCTGTTGAGATTTAACGGATTTTAATTTGAATTTGACCCGAGAAGAAGAGTTGAAAAGAAAATAATGATTGAGAGTATTAAATTAGCATTAATTTGAATTCACCTCAATATATTCTTATGAACAACATTGCTAAGCTAGTTCTATTATTTTTGTGGACACTCAGAGTAGGGATTATTATTGTAGAATCCCTAAAATATATGGATTACTCTCTCCGTCCCTTATAACTTTATCAACTTTTCTTTTTTGGATGTCCCACTAACCCAGTCATTTTCCCTTTTAAGTAAAAAATTTATGGTTCCGGTTCATTCTTTCTCTTCTGCACAAACCTCAATCACACGATTTTACTTTATTATTTTCCGTGTCAGTCAAATTTGGCAAAATTATTAGGAATGGAAGAGATATTTTTATGGAGTTTCCCAAAAAACTTCGTACTTCTTATAAATGGAGATTGGTTAAAAAGAAAAAGAAAACAGTAAATACTGCTCCATATTAGGATGAAAAAATTGAAGTGGTCCACGATAAAATGTTTCATACTTTACCGCACACTGGAATTTCACATTTTGGTTGCCGTCTGTTTAAGCCTATCACATGAATTGCCCTCCCACTCATTCACACCCCGCGTGGGACGGTGGTAATTATTTGGTTGCTTAAACGGAGTATATATATATATACAAAAATGATGTTTGTACACACTTTTGTACACATCTATGTCTGTGAAAGTTTTTTTTTTGTCTGTGAACATCGATTCACAGACAATGTTTTGCACAAACAAAATATTGTCTGTGAACCGGATTCACAGACAAAAAAAAGCTTCACAAACATGGTGTGTATAAGATGTGTACAAGTGTACAAGAATGGTTGATATATATATACTCACAGCTCCAATATCAAAACAGAGGGTGTAGTCAGGAAAGTACTGCTCTCCAGACCAGACAGCCGCCGGACACGGTTGCCGGCGTATTGCTACATAACCGCCACCCGCCGCGGCTGCTGTAAACAACCCCAACCCGGGTAATTACTTTTACGCCTGTGCGTACACGCCTACTATATTCTCTGACCAACCCAAAAGAGCTCGGCAAAAGTATCTTCAGAAGAAACGAGCAGAAAGCTAAAGACCAAACAAGAAAAGCCAAAAAGGACGAAAATCAAACCCATTCTTGCCTCTTAATCTTCTACAGCTACCCTGCTCCAATCATTTCTGCCCTTTAACTATTAAATACGGAGTGCTGGAATGGAGGAGAGGCCGGAGGCGGAGCTGATATCAATACCGGCGACGCCACGCGCGTCGACGCCGGAGATTCTGACGCCGTCTGGGCAACGGTCGCCGAGGGGGGTGCCGTCTTCGAAGGAGGGGAAGTCATGGACGCCGACTTCGTTCATATCTCCGAGATTTCTGAGCCCAATCGGGACGCCGATGAAAAGGGTTCTGGTGAACATGAAGGGTTACTTGGAAGAAATGGGGCATCTGACGAAGCTGAACCCGCAAGACGCGTGGCTTCCCATCACAGAGTCCCGCAATGGCAATGCTCACTATGCTGCTTTCCATAACCTCAATGCTTCTGTTGGCTTCCAAGCTCTTCTCTTGCCTGTTGCTTTCTCTTTTCTTGGATGGTATCTCTTTCTTCTCCTTCTTCTTTAATTTGGGTCATTTTTGTAATTTCAATTGCTTATCTCAAATACCATTTCATTTGTTTGCTCCTTTTTCTGCATAAAGTTAAAGACTTTTTGTATTTTCTGTTGGCTTCCAAGCTCTTCTCTTTTCTTGAATGATATCCCTTCCTCCTCCTCCTTGTTCTTCTTTAGTTTGGCTCATATTTGTAATTTGAATTGCATTTTCGAGATTAACATTTCATTTGTTTGCTTCTGTTTGAGTATAAAGTTGCAAAGTTTTTTCAATTTCTGTTTTTGACCTTTTGTGTGAATTAGTATCAGCATTAGAACATCCTCTAGGGTTGGAAGATGACTAGGTGAAGTTAGCAAAGATATGTCAATATTGTTTTGCTTCCAATTTTGACCACTTACTGTTCCATGTATTCTTTTTAGGCCATTTCTATGAGCTTTGTATCTTTGAAGATTTTTTTGGACTGTTTTACACTTCAAATGATAGATCTGGAGAGAGTGATTCTTGGAGGTAGTTGGCTCTCTCTCTTTTCATTAAAATCAAATACTCCGTACAAGAGGGCTATACTCTCCAGCTTTTTTTTTCTTTATTATTACTCTGTACTATTTTTGAAACAGTTGTTCTGATTGATTGATTTTCATTCTGTGGACGTTATTATTTGTTATTATTATTATTATTATTATTATTATTATTATTATTATTATTATTATTATTATTATTATTATTATTCTATTTTAGTCATGACTCATGACTTCATGAGCCATCAATTGTAATTTCGAGGCAGTTTGTGTCTTTATCATGCTTCCTTATATGTTGCACAAATGATTATTATTCCCTTTAGTGGGATCATCCCTTTTGACCACTCTAGGCCTCTAGCTTTATAAAGTAAAAGTATAATTTTTATTCCGTATAAATAATGGACAAAGACAAGGAGTGTATATGATGTCAATTTTGTCTCTCAAGTATAATAGGCAGGTGTGACAAAAAATACACCAGATGGCTACACTGATTGACATGTCCTAAATAGCTTTACTGTTTGTTGATCCCTTATAATTTTGTCAAGTTTGGCCGACACTTCGAGTAATACTTCCTTCGTTCCATAAAATTCTTCATGATTTGACTTGAAAGAAAATTTAAGAAAGTGAAAATAAAGTGGATATGTATGGTTGTGGTTAAGTAAGAAAAAGAGAAATGAATATTAGACGTACAAAACTTTCGAAAAAGTGAAATTGTAAGAATTTTTTGAGATATCCCAAAATGGTAAGTGAGAAGAATTTTATGAGGCAGAGGGAATAATATACTCCGTAATAAAAGTTGTGCGGTTGAAATTGTGTATATGAGAAATAATAGGAAATGCAAAGTAATTGATTACAAGTAAAAGGGAATTGTTGTGGGGGACAACTAAAAAAAGGAAAGAATAAAGTCATAAAGGAGGAAGGGAGTATTTGATTGATCCGGGATCCATATAAAATGGAATGGGGCATGCACACACTTTTTATGTAACCGTTTTTTATACTCCCTCCGTCCCGCAAAGATTGTCCCGTTTTACCTTTTCGGGAAATCCCACTAAGATTGTCTCATACCAAATTTGGTAAAGTTTGTGTGGCTCTTAATGATTCTTACTTTATCAATTCAATATCAACCATATAAACTCATTTTTCTTAATAACCGTGTCACCTTCTTCCGTCCCAATGTTAGTGGGACGGAGGTAGTATTAAGAATGCTCGTGATTTCATTAGATTAGTTTTAGAGTTTGTTTGGTAACCCTATTTTCAGTTTATCAGTCAATTTTTTTTATCTAACTACCTTTTGATTTTGCACGCTAAATTGTTTAATAATCAAAATAAGAAAGGTTGCAATTTTTTTTAATGAATTGGCTGAGTTACCGTAGAAGACTTTTTAGCTTTTTTTCATAAAATTTATTTATTTATTACGGAGTATTAAAATATATTTTAAATATATGGAGTAATTTTTCATAATTCACCAGATTCTTCTAATTCAGCCTGAATTTCACTCATTTCAACAAGTTAAGTTACCGCTTTCCTTTTTGGGCAATCCCTAAATTAAGTTCACACCATAAATATGATCATCTTTATATGATCATCAAATAACACTCAAGTTAAACTCATCATTTTCACCTAGATGACGGATGACATGAGAAAGTTGTGTGACTGCTACACTTATTATTGTTTATGTGTAAGAGTTTATACTAAAAAATGTCAGGTTTAGAAAAACCTTAATTTGGATATGCATGTTTGGAAAAGAACATCACAAATCTAATACGTAGTAGTATTTTAGATTTTTGTCTTTTAGGATGCTAGTTTTAGTCATCGTGCAATTAATTTGAGTATTTAACAATTGTATATTTTGTATTGTAACAATACAAAAAACACGGGGGCACGGGGATGAGGTTTTCTTTTTTGCTTTTAAACTATTGTTGATCTCCTATTCATTTGATTTATTCATTCAAGTAATCAAATGATGTTTTTATGTTTTTGTAAAATACGGGAAAAACACGTTTTATACGGGAAGTGGAAGTTTTTTTCCTTTTTAAACGGACTGACATAATTTTTCGTTTTAAACGCGTTTTTTTGTTCAAAAAAACGGTACGTGTTTAAAACGCGTTTTAAACGCAAAAAAGCTAACTATGGTTCACACTTCCTTACTTTCCTTGGCAAATTATCTACATCAAAACAATGTCAAACAGTGCAAAACAGTGTCCAAACAGTGCAAAACAGTTCCAAACAGTGTCAAAACATTAAAATTTACCCCCAGTAAATTTATTTCCTTAATATGTGTGAAATTTACATCCGACCCCCCTTACCCCACCGTAGGTGGGAGCCTCTGCGGCACTGGGGTAAATGAAAATGATGAATATGTGTGAAACTCATCCCGTAACTTAATTGTGGTGAGGGAGTATTTTTGTTTGTTTGGACTATCCAGCTAGGCAGCTAGCTAGTATCATAATGAGGTTATTATCTTTAAATGTACATGTAGCACAGGTTAATACTGAGAACAGATGTTATACGTACTACAAGAAAATAGTAAGCATATATGAAAAAAATCAGTATGCAGGTGCCAACAAAACTAATTTTAATGATACATCACACATTATTGTAAACAAACTCATCGTTACATTCTAATCTCGTTCTTCTTTTAATGTGGAAATGTCTATATATACTTGCCCTACTTTGGAACAGTTTCAACAGTTTCAACAGTTTCAGTGATTGATTCAGTCTGTATCACAGACCATCACAGATCCTCCCCCCCCCCTAATGTCACTATTGTTTGGCACAGAGTTCAGCACTCCACACTATTAAGCAATGTTAGTCATTAAACTTAATATTAAATAGATTATTTCACTCAAGATCTTTCGTGCTACTGATAGTTAGTTTTCTGTGTGGTAAAATTTGTTAACAATAGTATACATTCCATACAAAAGTGCAAGAAAATGACTTTGTATGACTTATTAAATCCAGGAGTTGGGGAATAATATCCTTAACTATTGCATATGTCTGGCAACTCTACACACTATGGATTCTTGTTCAACTTCATGAAGCAGTTCCAGGGAAAAGATATAACCGATATGTGGAGCTTGCCGAAGCCGCATTTGGTGAGATTTCATCTCTCCCACTTTTCTGAAACTTTAAACAAGTTCAGTGCTATTAATATATAATGTGCTGATGTGCAATATATACAAGTTCAGTGTTCAACTATACGTTTACTCATAATAAGTTTCAAGCTATTCATGTTTAATGACATCATGACAAGTGGTGTTTGCTTGGACGTCTGTAGGGGAAAGATTAGGCGTTTGGCTTGCTCTATTCCCAACGGTGTACCTATCTGCCGGAACAGGAACAGCTCTGATTCTCGTAGGAGGGGAAACCATGAAACTGTTCTTTCAAACCGTCTGTGGACCCCTCTGTTCATCGAACCCTTTAACAACGGTTGAATGGTATCTAGTCTTCACTTCCCTATGCATTGTGCTATCACAACTCCCAAACTTAAACTCAATTGCGGGGCTGTCACTCGTAGGAGCAGTGACGGCCATCATATACTCTACCATGACGTGGGTCCTCTCCGTAAGCCAACATAGGCCACCTTCCATCTCTTATGACCCTGTTTCATTGCCTTCCTCTACAGCTTCTATTTTTTCTGTCCTTAATGCACTTGGTATTGTGGCATTTGCTTTTAGAGGACACAATCTGGTGTTGGAAATTCAGGTACTCCTCTCCCCAGCTCTTTGCCTGCCTATTGATATTACTCTCTCCTGGCTAAAATATTTACCTTTTGCCAATGTTTTTGTCCCAAAATAACAGTTCTTTTACTAACTCAATGCATTTTCTGTATTACTCAGAGATTTGCCATTGTTGGCTTATTCATATAAAATGTGATTCTGCCTTGAAAATATACTACGTATATGAGAAGCATTTAATAATAGCATTTGTTAATATTTTTTAATAAGTGTTCACCTTTTTAAAACGTAACTCAAATTAGAACGGAGGGAGCATATCCCAGGAGAGAGTGCTGAGAATTTATTCAATTATTTGGTTTTAACTTGAAAAGTGACAAACAAAAATCAAATTTGGTAAAAATGAAATTCAATTTTACATGTTTGTATGTGTTTTAGTCTTATATGATAAATATATATACGTAAAAGTGAGTGCAAAAAATACAAAATAGTCCATTTCAACAAATGTTTATACTTTCTTGATTTTCTTTGGTCCAGTATTTTTTTCCCAATTCAATTCCCTGTCATTTCTAGGCTCTAAACGGACCGTAAGTTATCATCATTGGATTTTTCTTATCTTGTGGTATGTTATGCAGGCAACGATGCCATCAACCTTCAAACACCCAGCTCACGTGCCAATGTGGAAGGGAGCAAAGGTTGCGTTTTTCTTTGTTGCAATGTGCCTCTTTCCTATTGCCATTGGTGGTTATTGGGCTTATGGAAACCTTGTAAGTTTTTCCCCTCTTTCCCAACTATCAGTTTCCATAGTTTTTACAACCACACAACATTTTACAACATTTTAAGAGGAGAATCCAATATTGGTAAACCCATGGCGTTATAATCGGGGGTAATTTGACTTTCCCCCCATTTTTGGGTGAAAATTGAATATTGCACCCCATATTCAGAATTTGTGCACCCTATTTACTATAAAGTTGTTTGACTTTTCACCCCCATTCATTTCATCATCATTTTCATTTACCCCAGTGCCGCAAAGGCTCCCACCTACGGTGGGGTAAGGGGGGGTCGGATGTACGCAGTCTTACCCCTGTACTAAAGCCCAGAGAGACTGTTTCCGGATGACCCATAGTGAAAATCGCGTCCAAAACTGCATGGACTGACTGCTACTCCATAACAAAGAAGCGCAGACAGTTTAATGAGCCATTTTGCTTTATTCCATCATAATCTCAAGCGCAGACACTTTTCACCCCATTCTATCACAATTTTTGGGTTGATGAGGTGCACACATTAATGACTCTGAAATGGGGCGCAAAGTCCAATATAATAAAAAAATGGGTGCCAAGTCAAATTCCCCTTTATAATTATCGCTTCCATAGTCTAAAAAATCATGGGTGGATATCTATACGACTTCGAGCATACCCAATGGCATCTTTTTTTGGTTTGTTCAACAAATGATAATGCATTGCTTTTTGACTGGTTCATCCAGGTGCTCGTCCCCAGACATAAATGTTAAGGGTCAGTTTGGATGAAGGTTGGTTGTGGAGGTCTAGGAATATATCTTGAAAAACTATAGAATTGAAGGAATCCCATAATAGATGATCATATTCATCCCATTCACATTCATCCCATCCCTTTATTAGTTTCTATCATGATAAATACTAAGCCTTCCAAAGCATTTCCCTCTATTTTTTTGAAAACCTCCAAGTCTCGGGCTCTGAGGGACCGAAGGCCAAGTCGATCTCATCTCTCGTCTTCAGAACTCAATGTTAAAGCCTTTAGTTTGTTATGTTTTGGACATCTATTCCACCAGTTAGGTATACTTCGGCAGGCTTCAATTTTGGTTCATCTTCTTTCATTTTTCAGGAAATATTAACTGATTGATATTTCTACATTTATTTTGTAAATGAAGTATTACTTTATTTATTTATCTATATATTTACGACAAATTATTTAGATGATTCAGCTATTTCAGTCATAACTTCACGAGATTCACTCACAACTACTCTCACACAACCACTCCAGCCATTTGAAACCTTATCAAATGTGTTCTTAGTATAAAGATGGGATCTGTGCTTGGAAACTGAAATTCAAGCTCAGACTACTACTTTTTCTATATACGTAGTATTAACTTTTGGTTTTTCATTAAATCACACCCAGATGCCATCAGGCGGGATGCTTAGCGCATTGTTTGAGTATCACTCCCATGACATCCCGAGAGGCCTTCTAGCAGTGACATTTCTCTTAGTCGTCTTCAGTTGCCTGAGCAGCTTTCAGATATACTCCATGCCTGCATTCGACAGCTTTGAAGCAGGGTATAGTAGCCGCACGAACAGGCCATGCCCGATCTGGGTCCGATCTGGTTTTCGGGTTTTCTATGGATTCTTTTCACTGTTTGTAGGGGTAGCACTCCCTTTCCTCTCAAGTTTTGCGGGGCTATTAGGCGGGATCACTCTTCCTGTCACATTCGCTTACCCATGCTTCATGTGGGTGCTTATAAAGAAGCCCTCCAAGTATAGTTTCAGTTGGTACTTCAACTGGACCCTTGGTTGGTTGGGGGTGGCCATTAGCTTAGCCCTTTCAGTTGGTGGTGTTTGGAGCATGGTCTACAGTGGTCTCAAGCTTAAGTTCTTCAAGCCGCCTACCTAGCTGAAGGAAACCACCAAAATGGGAATTTCAGAAGGAAGAAAATATATGGCTTGTCAATGTATGGTTTATCTGATTTTTTGGCTAGGTAAAATGTTAAGTGTATTAAAATGGGTTGGGTAAGATTGTAAGAATGTTTGCATTTGCTGGTGTTTGTGTTTAAAATTAGTACAATTGGATATTGGAATTGTATTTAACCTTTTCTCATCCTTTTCTCTTAAATTATGTATAGATAAGTTCTGAGATGCATCAAGTTAAAGGGATATATCATTAAAACATTGTAATGGAAGAGTGTTTCTTTCTAATGCAGTGAGTTTTATGTTTTCTTGATTCAAAATATCTGTCAATTTACAGAAAGAAAAAAACACATTTCGAAGTAAGCATCACCTTTTATTTGTAATATGTACAGTTTATATTCTTAAGGTGATTTGTACAGTTTTGTCAAGAATGACGTCAGGGATTTTGGGTCGACACGGATAAAGAGAAGCATATCTTGCAAAAAGCAAGATTTGGGTCGGCCGAAATTCCCTTTACTTTGCAGTGTACCAAATTCCCTAAACCTTTTTTATTGGGGCTTTCGTAATCCGTACTTTGAGGTTGAAATCTACTTAGATAATTAGCGGAAATTTCGCCGTGTACAGGCCCGGTTACACAGCGGTGTACACAGCACAAAAAGTCCCCAAAGGATGAACTACCCTCCAAAGTCTTTAGACAGTTAAATCCAGATTTTGATCACAGTCAACCTCGTCAGTACTCGCTCCAAAGGATGAATCCAGCAGGACTTACATCACCTTTCAGGCTGCTCTTCCCACCACACGAACCCGCTACCTTCATTACTATCCTTTCCCTTCTCAGCCGCTAAGCAACTCCGTGAAGGTAGGAAGAATCATTGGAAGCAAGACCTCCCTCATCTCCACTTGATGGAATTGAACCCAAGACCTCCCACAAAGGGGGTGGATGGTCATCCATTGGACTACATCCACCTTCTCTTTTCCTTTTTTCCTCTCCCACTATGTACACCCAGTTACACAGCGGTGTACACAGCACAAAAAGCCCCCCGTATTAACCCCTCCCCTCCCTCCTTCATTTCTTTTCCTTTTTTCCTCTCACCCCTGTGCCCAACTTCTCCCTCTTTTCCTCTTATCTTTTCTCTTTCCTCTCCCTCCTTGCACCCAACATTCTTCACCCTCTTTTCCTCTTTCCTTCTCCCTCATAAATAACTCCTCTCTTTATCTCCCTTTCTCCACTTTTTTCTTTTCTTTTCTTGTTTCTTCATTTCAAAAGTTCTCACTTTTTTTGCAGATCTAAATCCGCACTGAAAAATAGGAGTCACAATTGAATCTACTTTGCTCTCTCAAATATTATTCATGAGGTAATACTTTATTTCACATTTATCTAAATATTCTATTTCACTTTTTTGTTTATAAGGTGTTTGTTCAAATGCTTCAATGAATTCTTTTATTCATATCTACTGATTTTGATGTCCTTTCTTCATTTTTGTTAATATGTCTGTATGATTATGGTTTTTAAATATTTTTTCTATTTTTTATGTTTAAATTGTATTTGATTGTCATTTAATTTGTTAGACTTTTATTGGATTGAAATGATTTTTTTCGTTATTGAATTATTAGTCTTGAATATGTTTGTGCATAGTTGTCTTTTTTTATATGTCTGTATAGTGTGTTCTTATATGTTTGTGCATTTCAATACATATAGACAACTTTGTGCATTAGTGATGTGGAACACCATATTGCTCATGTCCATACACAAAATGACCTAGTTGAATCATTAATTAAACGATTACAACTAATCGCCAGACCATTATTAATGAAGTGTAATTTACCTTCATCAGCTTTAGGACATGCTATTTTACATGCAGCAAGTTTAATTCGGCTTTATACCAACCGCATATCATGAATATCCCACAATGCAATTAGTAACTGGACAAGAGCCAAACTTAGCACACATAAAAATATTGAGATATTACCCGAAATAGGGCTAAAACAGTTTGAAAATTCCAAAATAGGACTGTCATTTTTTATTCCCAAAATAGGACTAATTATTGTCATGCTTTGGCAGTACCAGACTTCAAACATGGCAATATTTTATAAAAATGATATTCAATGGAGATGCTCTAAATATTGCAATATATTCTCGGTTGCTAGGCGGTGCTGGGGGCGGATCGTATTGGTTGGTGCCAGGGGTGGGGGAAGTGGTTGGAGGTGACTGGCGGAGGGGATGGGGAAGGGTGTGACGATCGGCCGGATCGGGGAAGAGGGTAGGGCGGGGAGTGCTTCCAAGCAGGAGCTCAGGAGGGTTGCTGGGGACATGTAAGGGGTGAGACAGGGGCAAGGGCAGGGTGTTGGGGCGATGAGGAGGGGCAAGGGTAGATGGCAACGGGTGGATGTTGACAGTAGATGGCACTGCCGCGGGTGGGATGGTGGCGGTAAATGGCATTGCAGTAGATGGATTGGTGGCGGTACATGTCGGAAAAAGTAGTCGGCGGCGGCATAGTGACATGGTTAACAGCACATTAACACGTTTGACGGTGAAAGTGACATATAAAATTGACATGAAAACCAGCGGTGACATTAAAAAGTGACATGAAAACCGTCAGTGACATTCAAAAGTGATATAGATTCAGTGACATAAAAATTTAATAGTGACATAAATATGGCACACTATATTTTTCCAAATATAAGACCTTCTTGATAACTTTTTTGGCCTTTTATAAAAGTGGTCACTTTTTGGGAAATTGGCTCTAAATTAGTAATATTCAAGTAAAAAGCCCACTTATAAACTTTTTACTCCTATACTGGTAATTATCGGAAAATTCGCTGTGTACACGCCCGATTACATAGCGGTGTACACAGCACAAAAAGCTCCTTCCCCCTCCTTTATTAACCCCTCCCCTCCCTCCTTCCTTTGTTTTCCTTTTTTCCTCTCCCCCCTGCGCCCAACTTCTCTCTCTTTTTTCCTTCTCCCTCTTTTCCTCTTTTCTTTTTTCTTTTCTCTCCCTCCCCGCACTCAACTTCCTTCTCCCTCTTTTCATCTTTTCATTTCTCTTTCCTCTCCCTCCATGCGCCCAACAATCTTCGTCTTCTTTTCCTTTTTCCTTCTCCTTCATAAATAACTCCTCTCTTTATCTCCCTTTCTCCATTATCGGCGCCAGGCATATTACGTACATATTTTACGTACATATTTTTTTGCACCATGTTAGTATTTATTTTTTTGTACAAACTTTATGGACGTGTTCTTAGAAGATAGAATTCTTCCCTGGTTAGAACTCTTGTACGTAGCAATTAGCTAGCTTTTATTTTGTTCTTATCGATTAAGCTTTTACACGGCCTATACCCTTGTATATATACTGTACCACATGATTCAATGAACACAGAAAATTTCCCTATCTCCTTCGATATTTTTTATGGTATCAGAGCGGTAGAAAAAAAAACATATCCGACTCACGACAATGACCGATGATAGCAACTCGACCTTTTCCGGCGAAGGTAAATTTACCGATCGTGAGGAACCCCGACGACGGAAAATCACCGATCACACATCTCCTTACTACTTGTCAAGCTCAGATTCTCTTGGGCAGAATATCTGTGGCTTCACGTTGAAAGGAGAAGGGAACTACCGACAATGGGCGACTGCCATGCAAAACGCTTTTCGCGCTACACGGAAATTTTGTTTTGTGGATGGTAGCATCACCCGACCGACCGACCATGTTGACGACATTGAAGATTGGGTCAGCGTCAATTCGATGCTGGTTGGATGGGTCATGACAGCCATAGATCCATCTCTACAAACGAATATCACCTATATGGATGATGTTTACGACCTATGGGAAGACTTGAGGGAGCGTTTCTCGGTTGGGGATCCGATGCGGATCCATGAGCTAAAGGAAATGTTGCGTGGCTGTAGGCAGAATGGTGAGACCATCTCGGCCTATTTTGGGAAGCTAAAAACCTTGTGGGATGAATATGATGGGTATCGTGTGGTGCCCAAGTGTATATGCAAGGGATGCAAGTGTGATCTGGCAAAACAATATATGAAACAAATTGAAGCGGAAAAGGGCCACGAGTTTCTTATGGGCTTGGATTCTGAAAATTATGGGACATTGCGTTCCAATGTTCTAAGCCAAGAGGAACTCCCAGCAATGACCCGATTGTATCAAATGGTGACGCAGGAGGAGCGGCATCGGAATATGATACGGGGCAGAGAGGAAAGGCCGGAAGTCATTGCTTTTGCGGCTAACGGTTCTTCCCTTTCGAACCATGTAGAACCAAAGGTCGTGTGCACCTTCTATAAGAAGACTGGGCACACCTTTGAGCAGTGCTTTAAACGGACTGGAAACTATCCGGATTGGTGGTACGACAATCCGGGGAAGGGTCGTGGCGGACGTGGCGGCCCAGGGACTGGACGTGGACGAGGAAAAGCCGTAGTTAATGCGGTACACACTGAAGATCATTTGGAGCATGCAGTGAGCAATTTTGGTGCACGACCTGAAGCACCTACGACTCGTTTAGCACCGTCGTTCACTGGTGAACAGTGGCGTGATTTTTTTGCATCTCATGCAAAATTGTAAGGCTGCTTCAGCTTCCTCTGCTCCAGAGAAATTAACAGGTATGGAAAAACAGTCCGATTGGTTGTTAGACTCGGGAGCCTCATATCACATGGCCGGAGATGCACGGCTATTTCAGTCCAAGGAGTCAATTCAGCCGACTCCGGTGACCTTACCGAATGGAGACGTGGTGTATTCTACCTTGCGGGGACAAATTGTCTTGACTCATAAAATTATTTTACATAATGTTCTATTCGTTCCGGGCCTTACGTGCAAACTCATCTCAATTGCACGTTTAATTGATGACTTGAAATGCATTATTTTGTTTACTAATGAGACTTGTGTAATACAGGACCCGCCTACGAGGATGCTGATTGGAGTGGGTAGACGACGTGGGGGCGTATACTATTTTCACAGTATTGAAGAAACTTTGGCTTTAGCTGTAGGAGACGTCAATAAAAGTGATCTTTGGCATGCAAGGCTCGGCCATCCTTCACCTTCAGTAGTGCGAACCATATCCAGTACCAATAAAGTAATTCCTTACCTTCATGTTCAAAATAAACCTTGTGATGCCTGTTTACGGGCAAAGAAAACTAGAGATGTATTTGGAATAAATTCTGCCAGAGCTACTAGTTGTTTTGAATTAATCCATTGTGACGTGTGGGGTCCATATCGTTTTCCTTCTTCATGTGGTGCCCGTTATTTTTTGACAATTGTGGATGATTATTCTCGGGCGGTATGGGTGCATTTAATGTGTGACAAAACTGAGGTGGGCACTATTCTTAAACATTTTTTTGCTATGACCAAACGTCAATTTCAAAAGGATGTACGTGTGGTCCGAAGTGACAATGGGAAAGAATTTTGTGCCTTGAAAAATTATTTTTTGGATCAAGGAATAAATTTTCAAACTTCTTGTGTTTATACTCCACAACAAAATGGACGGGTAGAGCGCAAGCATAGACATATTCTCGAAGTGGCTCGAGCACTACGATTTCATGCAAATTTACCTTTGGATTTTTGGGGAGAATGTATTCTAGCTGCCGGGTATTTAATCAATCGGTTACCTACTCCGGTAATAGACAACAAGACGCCCTATGAACTTTTATTTGGCAAAGCTCCTTGTTATACCGATCTACGTGTTTTTGGATGCCTATGTTATGCTCATGTCAAGGCCAATTCTGGTGATAAATTTCCCCCCGCAGTGTTAAATGTGTGTTTCTTGGATATGCTCACTCACAAAAGGGTTGGAAGGTCTTTGATTTGGAGCAACGTCGCCATTTTGTGTCCAGAGATGTACGGTTCTTTGAAAATAATTTTCCATTTCATGAACATGCTGCTTTGGAATCCGAATCCACAAACCCTAACCTCATTGACATCCATGTTGATGAAATGAAGAATTTTCCTGAAGCCATGCACCCACCTACTGTACATACACCGCCACATACACAAATTACCCCACCAGAACCTACTTCACCAACCTTTCCTTCACATGAAATCTCTGCCCCATTATCCTCTCCTTTAAACCACAAACCTCCATAAACTGAGCCATCCTTGTCCACTCCAGCAACACCCATACCTCCCACTACTGAGCCGCCACTTTCCACTGCTGCTTCACCAATACAGCCGCATGGACGTATCAGAAAACCACCGTCATGGCATGCGGATTATGAAGTCTCTCTTAATACTGTGCGAATAGCGAAACCCCCCGTTCTCTCATCTGCTTCCACAGCACCCGCAGGTACTCCTTATTCCTTGTCTAATTATGTTAACTATAATCGCTTTTCACTTCATCATCGTGCTTTTTTAGCGGCGATTAGTGCAGCTCGTGAACCCGAGTCATATCGGCACGCTGTCCAGGATCCACGGTGGCGGGCTGCCATGCAGGCAGAAATTGATGCTTTGGAGCGCACTGGTACATGGACGGTGCAATCCTTGCCGCCAGGCAAACGGGCCATATTTTGTAAGTGGGTATACAAAATTAAATATAAATCTGATGGTTCGGTTGACAGGTATAAGGCTCGCCTTGTTGTTTGTGGAAATCGCCAGATTCATGGCATTGATTATCATGACACTTTTGCCCCTGTAGCAAAAATGGTTACTGTCCGTGCCATTTTGGCCGTTGCAGCCTCACGAGACTGGGTGCTCCACCAGATGGACGTGGATAATGCCTTCTTGCATGGGGATCTTGGTGAAGAGGTATACATGCATTTTCCACCTGGCTATTCTTCCTCTTCACCAGGTCAGGTATGTCGGCTGCTCAAGTCTTTGTATGGGCTCCGTCAGGCTCCTCGTTGCTGGTTTTATAAGCTTACTTGTGCCCTCAAGGACTTTGGATTTAGTCAGTCTGAGGCTGATAATTCCCTATTCACTTGTCGCCGCCCTGGAAAAATCTTATGTGTTTTAATTTATGTTGATGATCTTCTCATAATTGGCAATGATCTGGAATTTGTTATTGAATTTAAATCCTATCTCTCATCCCGCTTTCCTGTCAAGGATTTGGGGGTTATGAAGTATTTTCTGGGCCTTGAACTAGCTCGCAATGCCACGGGGATTTTCATTAGCCAGCGGAAGTATGTGCTGGACATACTTACCGAAACTGGCATGTTGGGTGCTAGGCCGGTTTCTTTTCCTATTGTCCAGAATCATGGTCTTCAAACCGATGAGGGGCCCCTGTATGATGATCCTGATCAGTATCGGCGGCTAGTTGGGAAACTTATTTATCTCACTTTGACCCGACCGGATATCAGTTATGCCGTTCATGTTTTATCTCAATTCATGCAATCTCCGCGGCAAGCACATTGGGCAGCGGTAGTGCGTGTGTTGAGATACCTTAAGGCTCATCCGGGTCAAGGGATTCTTCTCCGACGTGATTCTCCCCTTCTTTTGACTGGTTATTGTGATTCGGATTGGGCCAGCTGTCCTCTCACGCGACGATCTGTTTCTGGTTATTTCGTCTTGTTGGGCAATTCTCCTATTTCTTGGCGGACAAAGAAACATGTTACAGTCTCTCGTTCATCAGCTGAAGCTGAATACCGGTCTATGGCATCCCTGGGCTGTGAGCTCATTTGGCTAAAAAAATTATTAGTCTCACTTGCGGTTCCTCATCCTGACCCTATTCGTCTCTATTGTGATAATCGGGCAGCCATGCATATTGCTTCAAATCCGGTATTTCACGAACGTACTAAACACATAGAGATTGATTGTCACTTTATTCGCCATCATGTGCAAACCGGGACTATAGTGACTGCTCACCGATCTTCTTCTGAACAACTTGCTGATATCTTCACCAAAGCTCTTGGGCAGACTCAATTTCAGTATTTATTGTCCAAGATGGGTCTTCGGGATCCTCACTCTCCATCTTGAGGGGGGGGGGGGGGGGGGGTATCGGCGCCAGGCATATTACGTACATATTTTACGTACATATTTTTTTGCACCATGTTAGTATTTATTTTTTTGTACAAACTTTATGGACGTGTTCTTAGAAGATAGAATTCTTCCCTGGTTAGAACTCTTGTACGTAGCAATTAGCTAGCTTTTATTTTGTTCTTATCGGTTAAGCTTTTACACGGCCTATACCCTTGTATATATACTGTACCGCATGATTCAATGAACACACAGAAAATTTCCCTATCTCCTTCGATATTTTTTATCCATCTTTTTTCTTTTCTTTTCTTGTTTTCTTCATTTCAAAAGCTCTTACTTTTTTTGCAGATCTAAATCCGCACAGAAAAATAGGACTCACAATTGAATCTACTTTGCTCTCTCAAATATTATTCATGAGGTAATACTTTATTTCATATTTATCTAAATATTCTATTTCACTTTTTTATTTATAAGGTGTTTGTTCAAATGCTTCAATGAATTCTTTTATTCATATCTACTGATTTTGATGTCCTTTCTTCATTTTTGTTAATATGTTTGTATGATGATGGTTTTTAAATATTTTTTCTAGTTTTTATGTTTAAATTGTATTTGATTTTCATTTAATTTGTTAGACTTTTATTGGATTGAAATGATTTTTTCGTTATTGAAATATTAGTCTTGAATATGTTTGTGCATAGTTGTCTTTTTTATATGTCTGTATAGTGTGTTCTTATATGTTTGTGCATTTTAGAGTTGTCTATATGGTTTTACTGAGATGTCTGTGAAATGCACAAACATATAAGAATACACTATACAGACATATAAAAAAAGACAACTATGCACAAACATATTCAAGACTAATATTTCAATAACGAAAAAAATCATTTCAATAAAATAGCATGTCCTAAAGCTGATGAAGATAAATTACACTTCATTAACAATGGTCTGACGATTAGTTGTAATCGTTTAATTAATGATTCAACTAGGCCATTTTGTGTATGGACATGAGCAACATGGTGCTCCACATCAATCCCAGTCATTAAATAACTGAGACGTAAATTCTCCTGCATGATCAAGTAGAATTCTCTTTATAGAATGATCCGAAAAATGATCTCTTAATCGTATGATTTGAGCAAGGAGTTTAACAAATGCTAGATTTCTATTCAATAAAAGACTAACATGTGACCAACGTGTGGAAGCATCAATCAACACCATAAAGTATCTAAATGGACCACATGGTGGGGCTATCGATCCACAAATATCTCCTTTCTAAAAATATAGGTGATTCAGTTTCAATTTTGTTAATAGAAGGTCTGATTATCATTTTGCCATGAGAACACGCCGTACAAGGAAAATCACTTGATAATGGAACCCTAATATTCTTTAGAGATATGAACTTCACTACTTCTAATTAGACTACTATTTTGAGTCTTAAAGTTTATTACAAATTATGTGTATTCATTTTAGATTTAAAATTGATTTGACATCTCATTGTTTTATCTCAAATTATATTTGAGATGTTTATGCATCTGGATTCATTAAATGCATATCTATGAATTTTGTACACAAACCAATGAATACAAAGGAATATATCCATAAAATAATAGAACGATATTTACCTCATTATGCTTGAGGTAATAGCACTCTAAAGTATATGAGTGACATTTGCAAATTATTATAACCTCTAATAAATAGGTGTTTTAACCAATTGTGGTTGTACACAATAAACTAAGAAATACACATTTATCTATTGAATTAATTCTTTGTTTTCATTTCTGATTGATTAAGGTGGTGAACTGTCTAAAGAGTTCATATCTAAATGAATAGAATTTTACCCATGACCGCTAAATGCATCTAGAAGTCACCAAAGTTTACTACGTTCAAAAATTTGTCATCACAATGATTTTCGTATAGAATGGAACCATGTCATGGGTTCATGTCTTGTGAGGGACTCTTGTCAAAGTAACAAGAAAGAGTTACTCCTTATACACCCTTGTGGGGCTTCCTTAAACCCTCACATTGAGAGGACATCATTGTCCACCAAGCTACTTTCAAGGGGTTTTCACATAGAAACTCATTATAAAAATGAGATAGAAATGCATATACTACATGTAATAAATGCAAAAAGAAAATGCATTTTTTAAGAAGATTATGAGTAAAAATGGGCATTGACTCATACAAACTTTAAAATAGCTGATTCAAATCATTATTCATTGGAGTAAAGGATAATATAAAATCCAACACATTGTAAGTTGTTGGCCAACATTGCTAAATAGAAAAACATTATTCATCTTCTAAGGTACAAGAAGAAATATTCACTTTCCATTAGGCCTTAGAAATATAATACTCCCTCCGTCCCTAAATTATCTTCAAACTTTCCTTTTTCGTCTGTCCCAAAATTATCTCCTCTTCCCCCTTTTAGCAAAAAATTTGTGGTTCACAACCATTCTTACACATTCTTACACATTTCTCTCTCCTCTGCACAACTCTCCACCACACAAATCTCACTATCTTAATAAATGTGCCCAGCCGAAAAGGGAGAAAGATTAGGGACGGAGGGAGTAGTAGACATGTCAATTATTTCTTAAAGTTGACTTCTTAACAATAATAGAATCGAGATTTGTCTATGCTAAGGATATAAAAATGTAGATATCTCATTTTTCAATATAATTTGACACGTGAGAACATATCTACTAAAATGCGGGCCATTTAAGTAATTATGCTTTGGTAGAAATTTAGTCATGCTATCTATTTTTCGGGTCATAAAAATGTTGCATTTGCGAAACTTCTGGCAAAGTTTATTTATTTAAGGGCCCACCACTTGACCAATCAAGTCTACAAGACTTATTACTGCTAGATAATTCTCATCAGAAGTACTTGATGATTTTGCATATTTTTCGAGATCAATGAAAAATATCTTTCGTCCCATGTGAAGAATAAGTCCTAGTAGAATTCACTTCTAGGATGTAGGTGATATAAATCACATTTATTATGCGCACAGTACTATGTAATTATTTTCATGGGATTGTGTAATATTGCAAGCACTCTTACACATTTTTTTAAATCGATACTAGACAACCACTTTTATGTATACCAGTTGGTGACTAGATCTTAGCCTGAGATGTTCTACTTATGAATATGTGGTTGTTAAATAGTTGTGCCTATTGCGTCTCCCATAATGCACTAGAATCGGTTTCAAAAGAAAAATGATGTTTATGTTGGATATGAATCCCCAACAATAATCTGCTACTAGCCCTAACAGATAATGTGTACACCGCTTTGCGGAATATCGCTTTGATGAGACAAATGATTTTTCTGTCATTAGGGGGAGATAAGAGAGAATTCTCTAATTGAATCATAGAATCATTATGGTGGTACATAACTATTGTGTCTCAATGATAAATCTTAGATTTCAAAATGTAACATTGAATTAAAAGTGTTTATGAATTATCAATGATTCATGTAATCAAATTATATACACTAGCTGAGTAGCTGCAAATATATTTATAAGGCTTTAATTCAAATTAAAAGACACAATGCTCAAGGAAGAAGCATTGCAACCACAAACAATGGGGTTGTGGTTGAAGCCGTGGCTCTCTAAAGGAATAGAGGGAAGCCACACGGTTCGATTAATTATCCACCCCAAGTAGTAGAGGGTAGATAAGGCACATACCAGTATACTCGTCATCATATGAATTCCTCTCACGATATTATCTTTGACCAAATATGTCCATGAATCAATAATGGGGGATGCCCCGAAGTTTAAATGATTTCAGAGAATTAAAATCTCAATGTTAATGAGAGCGTGTATGAGTCGAATGATAGACCTTACACTTATACCGACGATATATTTATACAGTTGCTCAAAGGAACATAGAACACGATGATATCAAACCATACTCTATTGCAATATGAAAGAAATGAGAATATTGGCCTAAACGCATACAAGTAAGCCAGGTATAAATTTAATATTGACAAAGAGACAAGTATTTGCTATGATAGTGCCAATCAACCAAGTGTAAAGCATGTAGGACATGAAATAATTCTTTGTTAGAAAGCGTACTGAGATAATGAGATCCTAATTATTCTCACAACGCCTTGGATTCAAATATGAAAAGTTATACTTCTCTATTTTGAACACAAAAATGTTCTACTACTTAATCTATAAGTAGACTCCAAAGTAATGGAGACACAGCTAAAGATTGTGGATATTAAATGTCTCAATAGAATTTCATTAATGAGATGTATATGAAGTATTTGTTATGTTTATATTATCTTTAATCAAGTGGTTTTAAATTACATTTTATATTTACATTGAAACGTTCACATTTGGATTAGATAAATCCAGACGAGAGTGACATATCCGTCTAAGTGACCACTTGACTGAAAAGGGATAGAAAAAGATAGATTATGTTTTCCCTCCAAGTATCATTATATGTCGAAGATATAAACATGGTATGTACTCATATTAAAGAAAATGAGAAATCTTAGATACTTGAAAGTCATAATTGAGATAAAGGATCTTGGAAAATTCAGGTTGTTTTGAAAACACCGAGTTGGTTGAATAATAATTCACTAGTTGTGTATATCCAAAAGGGTTCTCAGGCAAAGTAACATAGATAAATGTAAACTGTTAGCACTCCCATGATTGGTCAAAATATGGATGCTAGAAAATATATCCATTATTGGAAAGTTATTGAGAAAAGAAATTCCCTATGAAAGTGCAATATGCGCATGATTGTACTTTGACAAACACATTCGACCAAATAATACATTCTCAAGAATGTGTTAGCTGAAAATAGCTCAGGACCAATACATCGTATATCATCATTGAAATAGTATCAAGAATGTACTTTAATATCTATATGAAACCATTGGTGTAATCTTTATTCATCCCTTATAAATTAATTAAATGATTGATGATAGTAATATTTCTAAAGGAATTGGAAATGTCAAAAGTATCACTCTAACACAAAGTAACGTGATTTGAGTTTTACCGATTATGGATATCCCCTTACCTCATTGATACTTTCTTAAATGAGTATATATTTACCATGAAAGAAACTAAGATGTTATGTACGGAATACCTTGACAAAAGTATATATCAAGTAAATATCAAATTCTTATTGATGTGTTGCACTCAGGGGGAGTCCTTACATACTTATTTATCATCAGTTATATTGGTGCATTATACTCTTTTTTTTTTCTTTTTTTCTTTTTTGACCAAGGTTTAATTTTTCCCATTGTGTTTTGTTTCTTGGTAAGGTTTTTTTAATGAGACAACATAATATGCACCATCCCACATTTTAATTTTACAAAAGTAAAATAATTTTGAAGCAAGAACATAATTACTACTCTCGTAGGTATTAGTGCATCATACTTCCTTTTCGCTTTGACCGATGTTTATTTTTTCCCATTGGAGTTTGTTCATTGGCAACGTTTTCGCAAGTTAATAATTTGGGAAAATTCCCTATGCTTGACACACATGAGGAGAATTAAATGAATTATATTCCTCTATTGTGTGCCTTCGCTAAGGTAATTAATGTGACAAGTATTGAAATGGACATATTTTACAAACACCCTTGATTAATGTAAATATTAAGGGAAGACGTAGACTTGAGGGGGAGTACCCCAACTAGATTATGTTACACTCTTTTCCTTTACACAAGTTTTATTTTTTCCCACTCGGTTTTGTTACTTGGTAAGGTTTTTTAATGAGGTAACGATACATATAAACTTTAGTGATCAAAGCAAAGATCAAATAAAGACAGTCTTAATGAAAGAAACCTATCTTGATGTTATACTCCTTTTTTCTCCTGTCAAGGTTGTTTTTCCCCATAGGGTTTTGGTTACTTGACAGAGATTTGAAGAGACAACAAGACACATAAAACATTCTATCTACAACTCAGCACAAGGGGGAGTGTTGAGAGAAATTCTATGTTATGTGCTCTAGTTTAGATAGAATATGTATTAGGGGCTTTCTATGTAAATTATGTATTATGGACCTATTGGCCCATACTTGTAAACCCTACTCTATCATATCCCTATTTATAGGGGTTTTTGGTAATGAAACTCTATGAACTATTCTTCCTACAACTATTCTATAATACATAATATATTATTAAATAATAAGTTACATATTAAACTATTCTATATATATATATATATATATATATATATATATATATATAGAGAGAGAGAGAGAGAGAGAGTAGTGTTGCGGTCAGGAATTCCTGATCGGAATCGTCGTCCGGATGGCGGCATTTGAATGCCTTTCCGGTGGAATTTTTTTATTAAAATTTAATGGCATGTTCTTCATCGAGCCTAGTGTATCCACAAAAAAATCAGCTTAAAAATCAATCGGGAAGGTCGTCAAATAATTTTTGGAAGTTGACTGCGTTTTATATGTATTTTCTGGTGTAGTGAATTTCCAAAAATTATTTGACGGCCTTCCCGATTGATTTTTAAGCTGAATTGTTTTATTGATAAACTAGACTTGATGAAGAACATGCCATAAAAATGTCATCAAAAAATTCAACCGGGAAGGCAGACACACACCGTCGTCCGGACGGCAGTTCCAGTCAAGAATTCCTGACCGGAATACTACTATATATAGAGAGTCCATTTCCTATCCGGCCGGTCCAGACAGGAGCCCCGTACGGCCTCCCCCGTTTGGGGCATTTTCAGGTGGTATTTTTGGTTGAAATTATTTGTGTATGTTCTTCATCAAGTCTAGTTCATCCAAATCAAATTTGGCAAAAAAATGCAATCGGGAAAGTCGTCAAATGATTTTTGAAAGATAACTGATCCGTAATGTACATATAAAACACAATTATCTTTCGAAAATCATTTGACGAGCTTCCCATTTGAATTTTTTCTCAAATTTGGTATGGATGAACTAGACTTAATGAATAATATACACAAAAAATTCCAGCCAAAAATACCATCGGGAAACACCTCAAATTGAGGTGGCCGGATGAGCTCCTGTCCGACCTCAAATTGTGTGTGTGTGTGTGTGTGTGTGTTTTGACCGCCTTCCCGGTGGAATTTTTTGATGAAATTTTTATGGCATGTTCTTCATCAATTCTAGTTTATCCACAAAAACATTCAGCTAAAAAATCAATCTGGAAGGTCGTCAAATGACTTTTTGAAGTTAACTGTGCAAAATTATACATAGAAAAACGCAGTTAACTTCCAAAAATCATTTGACGAGCTCCGGATTGAGTTTTTAGCTGAATTTTTGTGTGGATAAACTAGACTTGATTAAGAACATGCAATAAACATTTCATCAAAAAATTACATCGGGAAGGCGGCAAAAAGCCGTCGGCCGGATGGCCCCTCCGGTGCAGCCGGATGCACACATATATATTGTTGACTTATAACATTATCAAAAAAATTAATTGAATTGATACCCTTAAATGACGTTTAACAATTTATCAGCTGATTGTCAACCGCCATTTAACCAAACATCATTTTATAAACTGCTAATGCTATCAGCTAATCAAAACAATTACTACCTCCATCCCGTTGGAAGGTTCGCATAGCAAAACGGCATAGTTGTTTAGGCAATAATTAAATAAATTACTTCGAGTATATTTTGAGAAATAATTTTAATAGGCATAGTATATTGATAGCTGTGATGTTATAAATGCTTTATTTTTAATATTTAATGATTAATTTGTCACTTAAGATTGTTAATTGTTTCCTAAAATGAAAATGAGGACCTTCTAACGGAACATCCAAAAAAAGAAAGTGATAACCTTGTAATGGGACGGAGGAAGTATCTGTTAACATATACTCCCTCCGGTCCCAAATGAACTTCACACTTTGACTTCACACAAATTAAGAAAATAAATTTGACTTTACTGTAGAGTACACTGTTGTGACACTGTTTGACACTGTTTTGCACTGTTTTGGTGTAGATAATTTGTCAAACAAGGAAGAGAGAAGAAGTGTGAAATTTATTTTAGACATACCCAAAAAAGAAAGTGTGAATTTCATTTGAGAATTGAGAGGGGAGTATATATCTACAATCTGATAGTAATGGTGGTGGAAGGATCGTGACCCACGGGATACTCTCTCTAATTTCTCTAGGATCCTCCCAAATATGATGAATCATTTGTCTTCCACTTCATTAAGTATCTGTTCCTTCCTCGATCCAGACACGGTCCTCTAAAGGGATTGATGAGAGGAACTGATGCTGTTATCCGCGCCGCTTTTGATTGGTTGAATAGAGAAGAAACGCAAACTAGAGTAAAAGGTGGGACCCCACCATTTCAGTATGCCGAATCTGCGAGATCGGGTACAAAACTGGGAGTAGTACTAGCTACCCTAGCTAGGATGGCTATGGCAGTCAAAGTTGTTTCTGGATACAGAAAGGGTACGACCTTCCTGCATCGCCACCCAGTTTTAGGGATTCCCTCAGTCCTCAGTTATCTATACATCAGACTATCATTTTCTTTTCACTGCATTGACTTGTACTATGAACAGATTTTTGCGCACTTATTTATATATGGAGGATATGGTTTTCCATTGCCGGATGGGGGTAATCCTTTTTTTAGGTCATGGTTTCCATCTTAACCGGTGGGCGTAGCTCAACTAGTAGTGAGGGAGTGACACAATGGTTAAGTTTCGAGTTCGAATCTCATAACTGCGATGAGATATTACTATGCTGAACAAATGCATACGTCATCTGGTAGTACCGGGGACAGAGCCTTACTCTCTATCTATCAGATTGTGATTATAGTTTAATTTACATCCTCCCAATTTACCGTCCGTTGGTCGGAGTTGAGAGCCCTCAGTGATGAGGTGTCATCCTTTTTTTTAGGATATGGTTTCCATCAAGTGTCTAGTTCACCACTCCACATTTTAAAAAAATCCATTGAAAATTGATACTATCCTATGACCTACATTAATACTCCCTCTGCTCCTAAATAAAGTTCAATGTTTAACTTCACACAGATTAAGGAAATAAATTTGACTTTATTGTAGAGTACAATGTTGTGACACTGTTTGACACTATTTTGTATTGTTTTGATGTAGATAATTTGTCAAATAAGGAAAAGAGAAGAGGTGTGAACTTTATTTTGTACCGGACCAAAAAGGAAAGTGTGAACTTTATTTGGGACCGGAGGGAGTAATACGGAGTAATTATTTGTAATTCTGCTGATTTCTCTATTCTCTATACAATTATAAACTCAACAATTTTTCTTTTAAAATATGAGGGAAACCATTGTTCAAGAGTGTATTTTAAGGGATTTTTTTAACCAAATGCAGATTAGTGTAAAAAGGGATAAAATGAGTTTTTGAAAGAGCTCTTGTCATTATTATCACTCCGTATCAAACTATAAATTGTAGATAAAGATGATAGAAAAGTTAATATCCTAGTATGAGTATATCATCATGGTCACTTAGCTTTAATCAGGGACAAAACCAAAGCATCATACAAAGAATATTTTTGGATAGATATTTACACGTAATTTTTTATACTAAAAATATAGATATTTTTAATATTTAAAGTGAGCGAGGACCCGTGTTGGCCCCTAGCTAGCTAGGCCCTTGGCTTAAATGTATTTGAACAATATAGTGACGAGATAATTCCTTAAATAGGAGTAAAAAGGTTTTGAAATTCCAATATAAGAGTATCATGTTTTTTATTTCTTGAATAGGAGTAAATTTCTGCCAAGTTTGGCATTACTAGACTTTAAAACATGACATTTTTTCTCTAAATTGGCAGATTACTCATATTCAGGAAATAAAAAATATTATACTACTATTTTGGAATTTTAAAATGTTTTTGCTCCTAGCAATTTCTATATAATGATTACTGAAATTATTACTCCGTATTATGATGATTAATGTATAAAAATCACATTTTGAGCCACCTTTTTTGCCATCGCTATTGACTGGTGCAAAGTGAAATATTACTATATTAGTACTACATATTTTCAATTTATCATGGCCATCGCAAAAAATATTACTCTGTATAAGCATTTCAAATATATATTCCCTCTGGTTCTTATTAAAGTTCCCACTTTCCTTTTTGGGATGTCCCTTATTTAAGTTCACACTTCCATTTTAGGAAACAAAACAGTGCAAAACAGTGTCAAACAGTGTCCAAACAGTGCCAAACAGTGCACTCCACGGTAAAGTCAAATTCATTTTCTTAATATGTGTGAAGTCAAACTGGGAACTTAAATAAGAACCGGAGGGAGTAGTCATTATTTCTTTGTATTAAATTGGAGTAATACAGAGTATAATTTTTTTATTCTTTGGTTCCAACCCATTCATGGGAAATTATATATAGCGGTAATTAATAACGAGTCAATAATTACTGCATTTCATCAAAGATCAATCAACATTTAGAGTATCCGATGAACACTGTAATTAGAAGTTTAAAACCACTAATTTCTATTACTCGTAAGAATAATATACCAATTACCCTACAAATTTTGAGCAGTTAATTAACCGGACATGTAAAACGGAATTAAAGAACCAAACCAAAGATCATAATATCAGATACGCATGGTTCAACACAATTAACCTTCCATGATTTTCATTAGCCGATTCAAGGTTTCCTTTCGGGTGCAGAAATGGCGAGTTCCGGCCAGCCTAAACAATCACCGACGTCGGCGAGGCCGCCTTCAGCCATCCCTCCGCCGCTAGTCCGCCATGGGTTCCAACTTGTAGTAGCCACGCTTCCGATGACACTTCCGCCAGCAGCTTCACCGACTATATCATCTGCCGCCCAGTCGCAGAGCCCGAACCCGTAATCCAACCCATTCGACCCAAACACATACTCAATACCGCTGTCCACCGCCGGGGAGCTGAGGAGAGATGTGAAACTCCCGGCGGTCTCGGGCCCAGACACCGTCTCGTTCAGATTCACGTCGCGACCCGACCCGGTACACAACCCAAGAACCGCAGGAACAGGGGAGCGAACAGAGCGTGTCGGGGAAGAGGAAGTCACGGCGCGAGCGGCACGGGAGCGTTTACCGGAGGAGGGCTTGCGGCTGCCGCCGACGGGGACGTTACGGATGGATCCGCCGCGGGTCCAGTAACGGCGGCAGGACTTGCAGAAATGACGGGGCTGGGAGAGGTTGTAGTTGTTGTAGTAGCAGAATTTGGTGTTGGTGGAGTGGCAACGTGGGCAAGAGATGTTCTCGGTCTCCGACAATGGCGGCCTTGTGTCCATTCCTTGTGCTCTTGAAGATCGTTTCTCAGACGACATGTGTCTTCTCTTCCGATCTTTACGTCTTATAGCTTCTACCGTTCTACGCTTCTGGTGATCTTCTTCTCTGCTCTCTTATGGTCTCAGGTGAAAAGAAGTGAGGCGGTCTTTAATTAAAGAAGTAGACGATGGGGGTAAAACATGAGGCAAAATGTTGACCGTGGTTCAAAATAGGACGCTCGTAGGCTTTTAGGAAAGCTACGTACAACACTCAAGCGGGAATCAAGAAAGTAATATAATTAAGGAAAGTTGCAAAGGGATTTAGTTGCCAGAAATAGCATCTCTGTATTTGAAATTCGAATTGCCTTTTATAGGCGTTTACAAATGGTAACTGCCGAACATAATAATGACTAAATTAATTACAACATTAATACGGAATTAAACACATAATTAAGTCGCGCATTGATTGTTGGCCGTTACTCTTCCTGGCTGGCAGGCTGGATGTTTGAGCTCCCTCCTGCTGGACTGGACGGTGGGCTTCCCGCTAGGCTGGAGGAAGGCTTCTGATCGGGCTGGAGGCAGGCTCCCGGGTAGGCTGGAAGGCAGGCTCCCGGGTAGGCTGGAAGGCAGGCTCCCCGTTGGGCTGGAAGGCAGGCTCCCCGTTGGGCTGGAGGCAGGCTCCCACCTGGGCTGGACCGCAGGCTCCCAGTTGGGCTGGATCGCAGGTTCCCAGCGGGGCTGGTGGTCGGCAGACTCCCGGCTAGGCTGGAAGGCAGGCTCCCCACTGGGCTGGAAGGCAGGCTCCCCACTGGGCTGGAAGGCAGGCTCCCCACTAGGCTGGAAGGCAGGCTCCCCGCTCGGCTGGTCAACAGGCTCTCTTGGGCTTCCGCTCCTTGATTGCCCTGATTGGTTGGGCCGACTCGAGCTCTAGGTTGCTGGGCTTGGGCCCGCTGGTCCAAGTTCGGGGCCTGGGCCGATTAGGCTCTGGGCCTGGTCCCATAACCCCATCACGAGTCCCCCACTCCCTTAGTCGAGTTGTAGACTCGGCTAAGAGGGAGTAGTTCAGGTCAGCTACCCATTAAAAAATATTCACATATAAGGGAGTCATAATTGTGGATTATGTGAATCCCGGAGTTTATGGAAATTCCCAAATTAAATCAGGCTCCCAAAAAAGGCTCCAGAAAAATTCCTTCAGCATTCTAGCACTCCAACCGTCAGTTTTCTTCCGGACTTCAGAATCCAGGTCAGCTCCCAAAAATTCCTTTCTTTTCTTTTCTTTTCTTTCCTTTCCTTTCATTTCCTTTCCTTTCTTTTTTCTCTCTCTCCTGGAAACCGCGTGCGTCCTCCTCCTTGCGTCTTCCTAGCGCAGCGCCGCAGTCAATGCAGTTGACCGACGCCTAAGCTGGCGGCCCTCCATCTGGTCGGACGGCCATGTTTGCGAAGCTCTGGCAGATCCCTGCGTCGATCTACAGCCAGCGCGGCGGCTCCCCAGGATGATGATGCCTTCCTTCGGGCGAAGGTCTAGCCGTTCCCCTAGGCGGTGACGGCTTCCAGGCGCCGGTTCCAGACGACGACGGATTCCAGGCGGTGGATCCAGGCGGCGACAGCTTCCAGGTGAAACATCAGATCTCCTCGGCTGGCATCCTTCCTCCTCTAGCGAGCAACAGGCCGGCAGACCCTTGGAATCTCTAGGTCGGGTGGACCTCTCCATGTCTGCAGGTGCAAGGAGTATGATGTCGTCTCCGGGTCGGCAGGCCCAAAGCTTCCAATCGTCGGTGATCTCTCCCCATCGGGCTGACCCATCTTCCAGGCCGGATTTGACTTGCGCCTTTCTCTGTTCGGGCGAGTCTCCAGGAGTTTTCACTCACGCTTTTTTTTTGTTTTTTTTTGCAGGTCTGGTCTTCTCTTCCCACTGAACAATGCAAGGCAGCAGATGCCCTCACCCTGGGATTATCGGCCACGGTTCTTCCTCGACGAGGCAGACTAAGGAGGGAGGTTCTGATTTGATGGCGAAGGTTGGGCCTCGGTCTGCTGCTGGCGAAGTCCGCTAGATGGAGCGCCGTGACGCCCAACACGGTGGCCAAATGCCCCGTGTCAGAATCTCCCCGGTGAATGGCAGCGGGCCAGAGGTGGATCCTCCAGGCTGGGTGGATGGAGTCGGAGCAGAGGAGCAGGGTGCATCTCCTGTGTATGCAGATTGGCCATCCCTGTATGCAGACTGACGGCGCTTTGTGTTTTTGAGAGTAACAAATTTGAGGTGCCTGCCGCAATTTGATGCCAGTGGAGCTTTCAATCTGGGCGACCACGTGACCGAGCGGTCGGGCGACCGGGCGACCGGGTGGTCGGGCGGCCAGGCTGGAGTCTCAATTCCCCGGGGTTGATGGCGACGGGCATGTCCAACCATGACCTTTTATTTTGTATTTCCTTTGTTTTCCACTTGAATACTCTGTGTTTCGAATGGATGTTTGATTTTTAATTCATATGTCTCCTTTTCTATACTTTGCATTACGAATACTTAGCAATTTATTCGGGGATCTGGCTTCTCTAACCTCCTGGGGGGGGGGGGGGGGTAGGCTGGCGTGGCCGAGCCTATTCGTGCCCCTCCTAGTTGGGTAGAAGTGATCTGTTCGCTATTGATTTGGAATCAACAAGTAAGCGACTTGTTTGGCTAGCAAGGTCGGACATTGAACCGACGAGGAAGACCCTTAGGTCGGTATCCTGAACGTTCATGACCCGGGGGTCAGTCCTACTGTCACTTTAACCCGTCCAGTTTGCCTGGACTTGGGGAATAATCTGGTTACTCCCGCATGGATAGCCAAACAACAAAGGCGGACCCTGCATGATCCACCAGAACGAACCCACACCGCCAACTCAGGGATGACGGGAGTGCGAGCTGCTTGGCCAGCGATGTTAGGCGGCGAGCACTCGAAAGGACCCGGAGGTCAGCATCCTGAGTACCCTCGACCCGGAGGCCAGCCCTACCGTCGCCTCGACTGTCGCGGCTAGCTCTTTACTTTAGAAAATTGCCCGGATTCTTGAAAATCGCTTGGCTATTTTCAGTTAAAGAGTCTGGCCAAGGTCGGCCAAACACCGGGGGGGCATAGTACTTCCTTTTTTTCTTTTTTTTCCGCCGCCCTTTATTGCTAAGTGAGGTCGGACCTCTTTTGAAGACAAAATATCACTAGCAAAGTATATTGAATTCATGATGTGGGCGGACCACATGAAGAATTACAAATTGTAATCCCGTGCTCGGAGCACAGGAGTTTACCAAGAAAAGTGAAACTTCGATTTTCTACTGGTAAAACTTCATCAGGTGCTCGGCATTCCAGACGCGGTCTTCCAACCGGCCTGTTGTTGTCTTCAACTTGTATGTCCCAGGGCCGATCACTGCGTCAACCACGTAAGGGCCTTCCCACTTGACGGAGAGCTTACCTCCCTTTGTCGGCCTGCTGGCCTTCCTACGTCTTAGGACATAATCACCGACGTCAAAACTCCGGGGTCGGGCTCGGCTGTCTTGGTACGCCTTGACTTGTCGTCGATAGTTTTCCGCTTTGATGAAGGCACGATCTCTTCTTTCCTCAATGAGGTGGAGCTCGGCTCGGAGCCTCTCCTCATTGCTGGCTGGTTCAAACTCTTCCACTCGTCGGCTGGGGATTACGGCCTCGAACGGTGCCCTCGCCTCAAAGCCATAACACAAGGCAAAGGGAGTTTCTCCGATTGCCTTCCTTGGGGTTGTTCTGAAGGTCCAGAGTATATTGTTCAACTCCTCCACCCAGGCAGTCCCGAGGGCCTCCAACTTCTTTTGCAATCCATCGACGATCGTCCGATTGGTGTTCTCCACCTGCCCATTTGCCTGGGGGTAGCAGACCACAACTCGGCTGGATTCTACGCCCCACTCTGCACAGAATTGCCGGAAGGCTTCGCAGTCAAACTGCCTTCCGTTGTCGGAGATTATTTGGAGGGGAACCCCAAATCGGCAGAAAATATTCTTCCATATGAACTTCTTACATTGGAGATGTGTGATGCTGGCAAGCGGCTCGGCCTTAACCCACTTCGTAAAGTAGTCCACCGCGACGATGACAAACCTCCGGTTTCCCGACCCGGTTGGTAAGGGACCGACCAGATCGACACCCCATCTTGTGAATGGAAGGGCGGTGCTGATCGGTGTGTACATCGTTGCTGGTCGGCCGGGGCTCTTCTGGAACTTCTGGCATGTCTCGCATTTCCTCGCATAGTCAGCGCAATCCTTCATTATTGTTGGCCAAAAGTAACCGTGGAGGACGCCCTTCCTAGCTAGCGTGTCTGCCCCCTGGTGGGCGGAGCACATGCCCCCATGGAGTTCAGAGACGATCATGTCCGCCTCATGTGGGCGTAAACACTTTAGCAAGGTCCCATTGTAGGACCTCCTGTATAGCTTCCCATCCAAGACGACGTAGCCCGGAGCTCGTTGCCGGACTAACCTTGCCTCCTCTTCTTTATCGGGGAGCGTCCCGTCGGCTATGTAGCGCAGGAGGTCATCCACCCAACACCAGGCGACTGGTTGCAGGGGAAGGACATCAATGGTCGGTGAGGCTGATATGCTTGAGTTCGTCATCTCCTCAATGCGTCCAATTCTCGATATGTGTTCAGGCAACCCTTGGGATAGCTTTGAGAGGAGGTCTGCATCGGAGTTTTGATTTCTCGGGACGCAGATCAACTCTGCTTGCTTGAACAACCCGAGCAACTCCCGAACAGCATCTCGGTACTTCATCATTCTTTCTTCCTTCGCTTCGAACTCATCTTTGACCTGGGAAACCACCAGGCGGGAGTCACATTTCACCGTTATCCACTCTGCTCCCATGGCGGCTGTCAGTCGTAGCCCAGATAGTAGGGCCTCGTACTCCACCTCATTGTTGGAGACTTTGAAAAGATAGCGGTAGGCATAGTAGGCTCGGAATCCCTCGGGTGAGATGAGGACGATTCCGCCCCCGCATCCCTGGGCTCCTTCCGACCCATCAGTCGCTAGAGTCCACCACTGTTCATTGCTCTCTTGTTGCCTATCTGCCACCTCTCGGGCCGTGCATTCCACAATGAAATCAGCCAGAGCCTGGCCTTTGATGGACGTCCGAGGCTGGAAGTCAACCTCATATTGGTTGAGGAGCATCGACCACTTCACTACCCGG